ACCCCCCAAACTCTCCCTGCCTTGCACCCCCCCATCCAGCTTCTGCCCACCTGGCTACTGCCCCCCCAACCCCATAGCCCAGCCCCTGCTTACCTCACATCAGTCCTCACCAGCCAGGCATCCACTCACCCACCCCCAGACCTTGCACATCTGACTTCTGTCCCCACTCCAAAACCAGTCCCATCCTGTACTGCCTGCTTAGCATCAACCCCCCTCCCCAAAAAACTGTCCTGACCACCCTGATTCTGCCCCTCCAGACCTGGCCTCAGCCTGCCTAGCATCTGTCCCCTACCTGAATCCAGCCCTTATTCACCTGGTGTACTCCCCTCCACTCCTGCCCACTCAGAATTGATGCCCCCCACACTCAGCCCCTGACTGCCCAGCATCCACTCCCCTTGGCACTGAGCTTCCCACACTGGGCATCTGCCTTCCATCCAAATACTCTCTGTGCTCCTGGTGTCCACTACCCTTCACCCCCATCCTTCCAGCATCCACCTGCCCATTCCTGTCCCATACCAGCCCCACATCCAGCCCTGCACCCAATGTCCACCCACCCCTGTACTTGGCCCACCCGACCTATACCCAGACCCTGCCCTCCTGGCATCCACCTCCCCCCCAGAACCAATCCCCACTTCTCCAGTGGCCACCCTCCCGTGGCCCATATTCAACATGCCCCTAGAGGTCAGGACTTCTGGTCCCTGCCTGAACTCCAGCACCTGTCCTGTCCCATTCCCAAACTCCAGCCCACATCTGCCTGGAATCCACTGTTCCCCACCCCGCACCCTCGCCAAGCCCTGGTGTCTCACCTATCTGGCATCCACCCCGCCACCCAAACACTGGCACCTGCTCCCACAGGGAGCGACCTCCTGGTGTGCTGTGCCCCCATGGGGCAGACTTTCCTGAAGTTGGCTCTTAGGGGGTGGGGGGGGGGGGAAGCTGAGGGGGGAGCCCAGGCTTGCTACCCATCCAGGTTTTACCGGGTTTTGGGTTGTGTGTCCAAGAGCCATTTAGGGTGGCCAGGTGCTTGGTTTTTAGGGATCTGGCAACTGTAAATGGCACCCAGACCAAAAGCCCCATTACTGCGAGATGGCGGGAGGTGCCAGGTCATTAACCCTGCACAGCTGGGCTGCCCCTACCTGCAACCAGGATCCTCAAGATGATCCAGCCAGCACCGTGGGGTTGGGGAAAGAATGGGCAATGGGGGCAGAGCTTGGGGAAGCAGTAAACGTTGGGGGGCTTTGGAGGGAGAAACGGGGCAGTGGGTGGGGCCTCAGAGGTTCAGTTTCCAGGAATTAGAAAGATGGCAACCCCAGCAGAGCCATCCCTAGGTGGACACAGGGTCTGAGGCAACCCCGCACCAGTACCCAGGGGCAGGGCCTGAGGAAACCCCTGTTGCTGTGGTGGAGTGCAACACAGCAGGCTGGAAGAGGGCAGCTTGGCAGGGCACAGCAGGTTCCCAAGTTGCTCTGGTTCCTGCCACTGTGGTGAGTGCAGAGGGGGGGAACCTGACCCAGCTACTGCCCCATGCCAGGCCTCACCCCTGATAATCCCCCAGGCCAGAATAGCTGAAGTAGCTGCTGCAGAACCCCCCAAAGTTTGAAGCCTATGGTCAAACTTTGACCATACAGGTCTGTTCCAAATGGCCCAATTCCTCCATCCCTGGACTCCCAGCTGTGTGACCCTGATGAGGGCCCTTCCCCTGGTCACTCACAGGGAGAGGCAGGGCCTTGTACTGTGTGCCTGGGCAGAGCCATGTCAGTGGAGGCTGTTGCACACTCACCATAGTACTGGGTGTTACCCCAGCCAGTCACAGTGCACACCTTCCCGTCCAAGAGGGGCTGCCCCAGTGCTGGGAGGCAGACAGGCTGGACGTCCTCTGAGGAGACAGAGTCCGGGCATGAGGCAGACACAAGGGGTACATATCACATGCACACACAATCACACGCACACAGATGGTAGATACACGTACAATGTGCACATACTACAGACACCCCTCACACACATAACTGCTATGCACGCCCAGACTCACTAACACACACACTCATACCACAGATCCACTCACAAAGCCCCAATGGTGTCCTCTTGCAGTGAGTGGGGTGCCCCCCAATCTCTCAGGTGGATGCCCCACACTCCCAGTGTCACCACTCGCCCACACGCACCAGTGAAGCTGAGGGGTGTAGCCAGGTGCACCAGTGCAATGTCGTTGCTGTTCTCCTCGCTGTTGGGATCCAGGAAGGGCAGGTAGCCTGCGTGGTACACTACACCTGTCACCCCCACCTGCTGCCCTCTGCTGGAGACCTGAGAGATGGCGCCTGAGAAAACCCGCCAGCGGCTCACCACCCGGTTCCTTCTGCAGGGATGGATGAACAGAGACAGAGCATCAGGGGGTAAGATGGGGCTGCCAACCCTTCCCCCACCAGGGATGGGCAGAGGGCTGGGAGTCAGGACTCCCATGTTCTCTCTCTGGACAATGGAGTCTAGTGGATGGAATATGGGGAGGGCTGGGAACCAGAACTCCTGGAATCTATCCACAGCTCTGGGAGGGAAGAGGGGTCTAAGTGATTAGAGGTGGGGGGGGCAGGGTTGGAGACGGGACTCCAGGATACTGTCCATGCTTCATGCCGGCACTCACTCAGGGAAGCAGTGCGCGGCGGTGATAACCCACTCGCTGGAGATAATGGAGCCACCACAGAGGTGGGTGCCGTCATAGCGCAGGCTGACCTGCCATGGCCACTTGCCCAGGCTGGCATCCTGGCCCCCCACGATCCGGTCAACAGACAGCTTCCTGCGCCCACAGTCTGCAGGGGACACATCAATCAGTGCTAGCCACACTCCGCCGAACCCCTCCATAGCCAACCCTGGGGCCTTGACACTCCCGGAGTCTGGTACCAGGCTAACCAATGAGGCAGCACCAATGAGCAACTCCCCTTGCACCTTGACACCAAGGGAAGTTTCCAGGTTACTTTGGATGCCACATTTTATCTTGTAGCTTCTGTTTCAGCTAAATTCTCCAGGAGCCAGGAAGTGTCGGTGCAGCAACTGGCACAATGGGGCCCAGAACTCACTCCACCAGACCTACGCTGGGCTCCATGGGCTGTAGCTCCACTGGAATCAACGGGGCAATTCCCAGATGGGGTCAATGGCCCATATCAGCCGGGCTCCATGGGCCATTGCTCCACTAGAGTCAATGGGGCAATTCCCAGCTGAGGTCAATGGGCTGTAGCTCTACTGGAGCCAACAGGGCCAGAATTCAACTGGGGTCCATTGGCTGTAGCTCCACTGATGTCAATGGAAAACTGGGTTTCTGACAAAATGAAATTTCTTGGGAGAATTCTCTGCCCTAGTTGAAAAAACAACACCCCTGTCCCAAGAGGAGAGACCAAAGTGCAACTGAGGCTGTGTCTAGACTACATGCCTCTGTCATCTGGCTAGATAGATTTAAATGATCGCGGCTTCATTTACATTTACATGGCTGCCGCGCTGAGCTGACAAACAGCTGATCAGCTGTTTGTCAGCTCAGCGCGGCAGCCATGTAAATGTAAATGAAGCCGCGATCATTTAAATCTATCTAGCCAGATGACAGAGGCATGTAGTCTAGACACAGCCTCAGTTGCACTTTGGTCTCTCCTCTTGGGACAGGGGTGTTGTTTTTTCATCCAGACTAGCGCACTGAGTGGACAAACAGCCGATCAGCGCTTTGACTGTGCTTCAGAATTCAAATACTTAATAGAGTTTGAAACTTCACTAAAAATGTTATTTTTCATTGGAAATGAAAGAATAAATATTATAACCACCTCTGTTAATGGGCTGATTGTGCTGGGCACTGACCAGAGAGAAAGGGGAATGCATGGGGATAAACTCACAAATAGATATGTGTGTGTACAAGGGGAGTAAACAGGGAGTCTGGGGAGAAGGATGGATGTGAGGTATACAGATGGATAGGTGGGTACATGACTGACTGGTTGGGTATGCAGGTGGGTGGTGGATACTGGGTGTGGAGATGGACGGGTGGATGGATAGTGGCTGGGTGGGTATGGAGATGGGTGGATGGGTGGCTACTGAGTGTGGAAAGAGGTGGGTGGATGGAGTTTGATGGATGGATAGACAGGAGTTTCTGGAATGGAGATTGATGTGTAAAGGTGGAAGGATAAATAAGGGTGTAGAGGTATGGAAATGATGGGTGAATGGGCATGGAGGTAGGGGCATAGAAGGACAGGGCATATGGCATAAAGATGGATGGAAGTGGGGTGAAGATGGAGGAATGCAGGGTATGTGTAACGATGCAGATGAATCGATCAGTACATGATTCGTAAGGTGGGTATAAAGGTGGGTGAATGGAACGGAGATGGATGAAGGGAAGAGATGGAGGGTGTCATTGCAGAGAGGATGGAATGGTGGGTGGCTGCCTGGGGATGTAGGGTGGGAAGGGAGAGTGGAGATGGAAGGATGGATGGGAATAGTCATTGCAGAGAGGAATAGGTCAGTAGGTGTCAGGCTGGAGATGGAGGCAGATAGAAAGGAGTAAAGAAGGAAGGACGGATGGGAGTATTGTTGCAAACAGGATGCACTGGTAGGTGGCTGTCTGGGAATGGAGGCAGATGGACTGGGTGGAGAAGGAAGGACAGACAGGGGTGTCATTGCAGAGAGGGATGGGTCAGTAGGTGTCTGGGTGGGGAAGTAGGTGTGCCTATGGACTGAAAGGTGGTTTGGTTATTACCAGGGCTGAGGACTTCATACCTTGGCAGAGCGTTGCAAGGAACTGGCCCATCGGGCAGTCACTGTAAGACAGAAATGTGAGGGATCAGCTTGGGGGTGGGACAGCAGGGGATATGTGTGGGGTGTGAAGTGCATCTTTACCCCTCCTGAACATGTAGGGAAGGTTCCACTGTCCCAGACACAGCTCTGTATGCACACTTCCAACCCATGTGTATTCACTGACAAGAGACAAGGCTAGATAGAATGAGGGTGTGAGGCGGGGCAGCAGAGGGACAGATACACACACACACACACACAGTAGGGTGTGATGGATGGTCAGGGGATGCCCTTTCAGCACTGGGCAGGATAGGCACAGACACACACACAGCAGGGGGTGGAAAGATACAGATCGACAAACAGCAGCCCTTCCAGCGGGCGGAGGGGGGGAGGGTACAGGCACAGGCACAGGCACACACACCATAGTTCCCTGTAGGGTTTGTGCTTGCGCAGGCCCACGCAAAGAATTCAAAACCTGCCCTCCTCCTCAGCAGAGCCACACAGTGGCTGTTCAGCTGCTCCATGGCAGGCAGCTGGTCCTCCTCAGGGGCAGCTGGGCAGCCACCATACAGCCCTGGCCCTAATTCCAACCCTTCACCAGTACTGGAGCTGTGGCCAGGGCAGGATGTATGGTGACTGGTGGAGCTGGAGCCGGGGCCTCGGTACTAAAAATAGCACCACGGCCCCAGCCCAGGAGCAGCTGCACAGTGGCCCCAGCTCCTGTCCCAGCACACAGGGCAGCCCCCCACCATGCACCCCTGCCCCAGACTATCCAA